GGGGGGTTCCATGCGGGGAAAAATAGAGGAAAATGGTGAAAATATGTGATTTTTAAAGAAAATTATCGGGGTGGGTGGGGGGGTTCCTGAAGCCCAAAAAACCCCTCTGGATCCGCCACTGTACACGCATACATTAGTAAAAAGGAGGTCTAGACCAAAGAAAAACCAAGTTCCTTTCACTTAGACTTTAATTGCCTCCTAGCTTCCAAATCGATTTACTAATCGATGAATTGTTGAAAAAGGAGCACAAAACGAGCGAGCACAGCCACAGGTACGGGTCGTGTACGTTCAAAGTAACACAGTCAGAATTATTTCCTGTCGATAATATTACTTGACGAAACTGTGCTTTGACTAATGAGTTATAAGGATTTAATGAAGGAAACAAATAGTAACGAAAGAAGACAATAAGTTACGAGTAGGACTATAAAACTTACCTTTCTTTTATAACCCCAAAACACGACAAAACGTTTTCGTAATTTACACAAAAGAGTACGTTTGAAGGGAGACAACTACATTATAAGAATGCAGTAATTATAAGGAACGACGACTCTGGATAGAAAACTCTTTGGCTAAGCTGCAAGACAGTGACTTCGAGATCGCAAAGACTGATCTCGAAGTCATCATGGACATGGATTAAGCATTATCACAATCAATTTCATTGTCATCATTCTATCATCATCAACATATCATCATCATCATCATCATCATCATCATCATTATCTTTATCATCTTCTTCATCCTCTTCATCAAATATTTGTATATTACTAGGTATATAAGGATAGCTTATACATTTTATTTCATGTTGTTGAGAGAGATGTATTCACAGGAAGGCAATACTTGTCGACATACTAGCACATTTTGAGAGGACAAGTTAAATATTTGCCTTATCTACTCGTTGGCTGACTCTGCATATTAGAACCTGACTGTGTACACATAATTCGCATGTCATAGCACGCGTTTTTCAACTTTGAGTCCATGTTGATAAGATATCCGCGAAGAGCTAGATTACATAAGCTCAAAAGAACAATGTCAGAGACAGCAAACGCCATGTTTAAGATCGTCAAAGAAGGTTTTACAGATGTAAGTACCCAAAAACTGATAAATCATACATTAAAAGTTTGGGTAGCTTGTCGAAATCTACTTATTGCTTTACGTGATGTTCATAATGCCAATGCATTCCAATAAGAGTTCCGTGTGGGTTTTTTTGTATACAAAATAATATGCTTTTACTACTGCTTTCATGTTATCGCGGTTATTTATCTATTTTTTATTTTCTTGATAGAATATTGGATACATTTTTATTTTACCGTAAGCTAACCAGTAACCAGGCTTTTAATGAGTAGGCCCTGCTTCTTCCAGACGCCGTCATAACATGAGAAACCTAACTATTTTTAAGTACCACATCATTCTGTCCTCATTTTGCGACAATGTAATGTTTTATTTGAACATGTGTGTTGGGTGGAGGTCGGATGGGAGATGGGTGTGTGCGTGGGAGTTGCGGGGAAGGGGAACGATTGGAAAGGGGAGGGAAAGGTATAGATAAGCGTGTAGTTTTGAGTGGTTAATTCATATCCAAAGATGAAATAATTTGAAAAATTACTGGACCGTGTGCTGTAGAGTTCTTCCTTTTTACGCTTGGTCCTAATTTTCGCGTTAATTCACACTGCTCATCGATCTCATAAATTAAAAGTATCAAAAATATTCTAAAACACAGATATTTCAAGACAATTACTTACGTAATGCAGTATATCAAACGTTTTCCCCTAAGGCAATATATGTTGTTGTTTTTTAATGATAGGCATCATAGGTTTTATTTTTTTTAAGAAATTTATGCGTCGATTTCTCCTACATAAAATATCAAATATGCTATTAAGAATAATGAAATCAGATAAGTTCGATAGTTTGGTGAATTTTCGATATATCAACAGATGTTTTATTTTTATTTTTACAGAGCCAGGTGTATATTGAAGAACTGAAATGAAAATTCTTATGGCATTTATACACATTTTTACATTCTTTAGGGTTCTCATTACGACAAATACAGACCCGACTACACACCGGAAACGACGTCAGCAATCTTACGTATGCTCACTGCTGAGCATGGTGTCAGTGCAGGTGACAATAAACTATACATCTGTATATATGTAATAAATGCATTGTGAACTATGTTGTAAAGCATAGTACCTTTAACAAAACACGTAGTTTTAAAAAGCTCACCTAGGATAGATCAAAGTCAATAATACAGAATTAAAGGATTCCATATGGGAAGCTTACTTTTTCTTTCATTAAAATACTTTAAACTTTAAAGCAGTAGTAAATAGACTTATTTGTGGTAGGCAAACGAGTGGTAAAATTAATAAATAGAACCAAAGTCCATTCTGTTCTACCTCCGTGTCATCATGAGCATTGGAAACATTTAGTCCAGAAGAAAATATTTTAACTTTAGCACTATAAGAAATACAGTAGTACACATAAATGAACTAATATTATTTTGAAAATTATCCATTTAACATTTGTTACAGCGCAACGTTTTAAAAGCATTTTATGCGTTTCAAGTCTACAGTACAGGGGTAATAAAATACTGTAAAAATGTATTTGCGTATATTTTGGAGCTTACTCATTTCAACACCGTGAAGAATTTTAATTTCTTACAGTATGAAAAACATTGCTGTTGTTCCTTTCAGGTGAAAACTGTGACATTCTTGAACTTGGAGCGGGTACTGGAAAGCTCACAAAGCATTTGTACAAAGCACTCCCACCCGTAAGATTTACATAATTAAACAATGTTTATTTAGAAGTGACATAATATTATTTTGTATAGCTTACTATCAAGTCTCGAATCTTCTTTAGACGCATGGTTACTTTTATATAAATATCACATTCATGAGAGGGCAATATTGCATATTTTCACCCCAAGGAAGCATTATCGCCCTCTCATGAATGTGATTTTTATTTTATTATACCGAGGGTCATGTTTAGGTGTTTCACCACTTCACCATTTTTAAAAGTCGACAAACGTTTCAGAAAAGTTTTCACTGGGATGAACCAGGGGCGCATACATTCGGCGCATGTAGCAATTTTTGGAATAACACCCTGGCACTGGGACGAACCGTGCACGCATACGTTTGGCGCATGTGATATTTTTTGGAATAACACCCAGGCACTGGGACGAACCGTGCACGCATACGTTTGGCGCATGTGATATTTTTTGGAATGTCACCCTGTCTTCTTTATCTTTGTAAAACGAGCAAGTAACATTGAAAATGTTCACATCTTTCTCAACCAATCAGATTACGAGATTTTAACAGAAGGTATAATAA